GTAAATGTGTGGTTACTCAGGTGGTGTTGGAGAGAGGGCTTTGGTTTCTTTGACCGTGGGACTCTGTTCTGGACACAAGGATTGTTTGGAAGAGATGGGATCCACCTAACCAAGAGAGGAAGGAGCATCTTCGCGGGCAGGCTTGCAAACCTGGTAAGAAGGGCTTTAAACTAGGTTTGTTGGGGGACAGTGACCAAAACCCTGAGGGGAGTGGGTAAGTCGGATACCAGGAAGAAATGCAAAGAGGAACGAGCAACAAAGGAGGACCCTTGATTGGAATAGAGAGGCTAGGGCGATCAGCTGGTTATATAAGGTGTTTGTACACCAATGTGAAAAGCCTGGGTAACAAACAGCAAGAATTGGAAGCCCAGGCCCAGTCCAAGAACAATGATTTGATTGGGATAACAGAGACTTGGTGGGATGACTCGCATGACTGGAGCGCTGTCATGGAAGGGCATAAACTGTTCAGGAAGAACAGGCAGGGGAGAAAAGGAGGAGGAGTTGCACTGTATATAAAAGAGCACAATCATTGCTCAGAAGTCCAGTATATAGAGGGAGAAAAGTCTGTTGAGAGTCTGTGGAACAAGTTTAGAGGTGTAAGCAACAGCAGTGATGTTGTGGTTGGTGTCTGCTACAGGCCGCCGAATCAGGAGGATGAGGTAGATGAGGCTTTCTTCGGAAAACTGAGAGAAGTTTCCAGTTCGCAGGCCCTGGTTCTCGTGGGGAACTTTGATCACCCTGACATCTATTGGTAGACCAGTATGGCAGTACACAGAAAATCCAGGAAGTTTTTGGAGAATGTTGGGGATAACTTCTTGGTACAAGTGCTCCAGCAAGGGTCTGTGTGCAGCTTAAGCTGCTCACAAACAGGGAGGAACTAATAGGGGAAGTAGAGATAGGTGACAACCAGAGAAGCAGTGATCATGAGATGGTAGATTTCAGGATCCTGAGCAAAGGAAGGAAAGAGAGTAGTAAAATACACACCTTGAACTTCAGAAAAGCAGACTTCGACTCCCTCAGGGACCTGCTGGGCAGAATCCCCTGGGATGCTAACATGAAGGGGAAAGGAGCCCAGGAGAGCTGCCAATATTTTAAAGAAGCAAGGGATGTGAAGGATAACAAGAAATGTTTCTACAAGCATGTTAGCAAGAAGAAGGTAATCAGAGAGGGTGTGGGGCCCCTACTGGATGAGGGCAGTAACCTAGTGATGGATGATGTGGGGAAAGCTGAAGTACTTAGTGCTTTCTTTGCCTCTGTCTTCACGAACAAGGTCAGTTCCCAGACTAATGCGCTAACTGACACAACATGAGACGAAGGTGGACAGCCTTCGTTGGGCAAGAACAGGTTAGGAACTACTTAGAAAAGCTTAAATCTACAGAAATCATTGGGTCCGGACTTAATACATCCAAGGGTGCTGAGGGAGTTGGCAAATGTCATTGAGGAGTCTTTGGCCATTATCTTTGAAAAGTCCATTTTAAAGAAAGGGATGAAGGACGATCCAGGTAACTATAGGCCGATCAGTCTTACTTCAGTCCCTAGAAAAATCATGGAGGGGATCCTCAAGGAATCCATTTTGAAGCACTGGAAGACGGGAAGATGATCCGGAATAGTCGGCATGAATTCATGAAGGGCAAGTCATGCCTGACCAATCTGATTATCTTCCATGATGAGGTAACTGTGTCTGTGGATATGGGGTAGTCAGTGGATATGAGATACCTTGACTTTATCAAGGCTTTTGATACAGTCTCCCACAACATTCTTGCCAGCAAGTTAAGGGAATGTGGATTGGATAAATGGACGGTAAGATGGATAGAAAGCTGGCTGGAAGTTTGGACTCAGCAGGTAGTGATCAACGGCTCGACGTCAGGATGGCGGTCAGTTTCTAGCGGGAGTGTCCCAAGGATCAGTTCTGGAACCAGTTTTGTTCCACGTCTTTATTAATGACCTGGATGAGGGGATGGATTGTACCCTCAGCAAGTTTGCAGATGACACTAAGCTGGGGGAGAGGTAGACACGCTGGAGGGAAGGGAAGGAGGCCAGAGTGACTTAGACAGATTGGAGGATCGGGCCACAAGAAATCTGATGAGGTTCAACAAGGACAAGTATAGAGTTCTACACTTGGGATGGAAGAATCCCAAGCATTGTTACAGGTTGGGGACCAACTGGCTAAGTAGCAGTTCTGCAGAAAAAGACCTGGGGATTACAGTGGATGAGAAGCTGGACATGAGTCAACAGGGTGCCCTTGTAGCCAAGAAGGCTAATGGCATACTAGGTTGCATTAAGAAGAGGATTGCCAGTCGATCCAGAGATGTGAGTATTCCTCTTTACTCGGCTCTGATGAGGCCACATCTGGAGTATTGTGTCCAGTTCTGGGTCCCCAATTACAGGATGGATGTGGACGCATTGGAGAGGGTCCAGCAGAGGGCAACCAAAATGATTAGGGGCTGGAGCATATGACCTATGAGGAGAGGCTGAGGGATTTGGGTCTGTTTAGTCTGCAGAAGAGAAGAGTGAGGGGGGATATGATAGCAGCCTTCAGCTTCCTGAAGGGAGGTTCCGAAGAGGATGGAGAAAGGCTGTTCACAGTAGTGATGGATGGCAGAACAAGGTGGGAGAGGTCCAGGTTGGATATTAGGGAAAACTATTTCACTAGGAGGGTGGTGAAGCACTGGAATGGGTTACCTAGAGAAGTAGTGGAGTCTCCATCCCTAGAGGTGTTTAAGTCTCGGCTTGACAAAGTCCTGCCTGGGTTGATTTAATTGGGATTGGTCCTGCCTTGGGCAGAGGGCTGGACTTGATGACCTTCTAAGGTATCTTCCAGCTCTATGATTCTATGATTCTGTGTAAAGTGTGTGTGTTCATGTTCTATGTGAAGTTGTGAATTCCTTCTCTATGGTTTTACCCAGAACATGTTTAAGACAAGACAGTCTAGCCTCCGTAAAGGTGTTAAACAGGTCTGCCTTAGACAAAGGAAAGTGGGTTTACTTCAATTTACATATTATCAGTAAACAAAGGCATCAGGCAAAATCGGGGAATTATCCTAGTCCTGAACTGGACGGACTGAATTAACATGGGTCTTGTGCCTCAGAGAGAGACTGGAGACTAAATTGCCAGGAAGCCTTAGTGACTTTTAAGATTAAAAACAACTCCTTTGGTGTTACAAGAAAAAGAGACACTCTATCTTTATCCTTCCTATTGCGGGACATATAAAACAAGCAGTTGGATCTCTGTGATGGGTCCTGGCCAGGCCAGCCAATAAAATCAGGAAAGGAGACTATGGGTGAGAGAAACCATCTTGAACAAAGACTGCATCTTGGTTGATTAACTTTTAGCTATGTGTTTTCACTTTTATTTGCTTATAGCCATTTTTACCATTATCTCTTTTACTTGGTACCACTTAATCTATGAATTTTTGCTAATAAATTTTCTTTATAAATCATCACTGCTGTGTAAATTCAGTAGAATGTGTGCTTCTGTAAAACTAACAGGTTGGATGTGTTTTACTGCCTCCTTAAAGGCTGTGAACCTCACACTTTCTCTGAGGATCCAGTGAGAGGGACCTTTAGTATAGAGCAGGGGTGGACAAAAGGGCCTCTGTGGGCTATTCCCCCACCCCCAGACCAATTAGGGCCTGGGGGGAGGCACAAAGTTTTCTCTACTCTGCCAGGAGCATGCGGGAGAAGACTTCACGCGCTCTCCCACCCCCAGCCCAATCAGGAAATGGGGAAGCCTGAAGCATCCTGGCCACGCCCCTTCCTTTTGAGGCCCTGCCACTTCTGGTGCTTCAAACATTTTTTAAGTGGCCCCTGGCAAAAAATGATTACCTGGTATAGTGGGATGTTGAGGGGACCGAGTTGAGGCTGGATCATCTTACAAGGAGTAATCAGGTTGGGTAAAGCCAGAAGAAGACTTGGTCTGCTGTCAACAGGGAGCCAATATGTCTGGTTATAAATGAGTCTCTTGAGTTTTGTGCCCCATATGGTAATGAGACAAACCCAGACATGGTTTTGTCTGGTACTGGACAGGGGATGTCATAATGAAGATTACACTACTCTGCTCCTGCTAGCATAACCACTCACTCAGCGTGTGTGCAAGATAATGCTATCAAGTGTGGGGGGAGAGATTGGGCTCTCTTCATTACAGCATTCCCCATGTTGTATGACATTGCCAACATAATGCATGTTAGGTAACATGAAGGGGGACGGGCGTGCAAGCAGGAACAAGTCCACTCCATTTCACATGTACCGGAATGTGTAATTATCCAGGAAAATGGAAGTGGCTACCCTAGCTTGCCAAGCTGTTGAGATCAGAGCTCTGGATCAAAGCTGCACAGCCACAAGACACCCAGGGTTTCAAGAATCCCATACTAGACTCGGTGAACCCCAAAATGTGAACATTTTTCCAGTGCATGTTATAGGGTGCAGAGATGAAATCACAGTGCATGTAATTTGCAATATAAAGTCTTATTGCTAATTGTAAAAACAATCCCACCCTCCTTTTCCATTTTACATTTTTTTTATCCTTTTACCATTTTTGTTCAAGGGAAAATGTTTTGTTTTAAGCCCTCAACATGCATTTCAGGGACAGCATTAAAAATGACTGCTTATTTTAAAAAGTATTTGTTATGCATACAGTTATATTTTGTGCTTCCCAACATACTGAAAACAATCAGATTTTCTCAGTGTTTTTGACATATTGGGGTTTGTTAATTTAAGAAAGAGAGAGTTGGTTGGCAGTGTCATTTCTGTAATGGTGAATTTTATGACTTCAAACATTTTCAGACACATGGTCTACATTATTTACTTTTTCTGCATTTTATAATCTGCCTCTCTTCCTCACACATGCACACAGTATTTTAGATTCGTATTTTCATCTTTCTGTAAAATATTGCAAACTGAAATTTCCTCAAATGTAAGCAATTGACTCTATGACCTTGTGAATGCAGACTTAACCCAGCTCTCTTTCAGCTTATGTTTTTGTCCTTTTCTTGTTATTGACAGGTTACCTTAGGAAAAGTGCTAAAAGTGATAGTGGTGATGCGGAGTCTCTTCATTGACCGGACAATAGTAAAAGGATATAATGAAAATGTATACACTGAAGATGGCAAGGTAGGTTTTTCACATCTCTAGCTTCAGACTTACCTGATACCTGGTTTTTGCGAAACTAGAGAAAAGAACTTCCATCACAGGCATGTTTGCAAACAAGAAATTATCACAACAGGCTGGGCTGATGTTCTGCAAAGCTTTCAGCTTTAAATTTAGCTCACTTCACTCAGATTTTTCATACTCAAGCATCTATTTTTTCTTTAAGCCCTGATGCCCTTGCTTGAATTTCTAATTTATCACCTTAGACCACAATTGCCTCATTAATAGTGTCTACTGAGGAAACATTTTTTCAGTGTACCAGCACATCAATAGCCCAGGGTTCACTTTTCTCTTTTCTGAGAGCCACTGGGAAATCTTTGGCTAGTTTTATACTCAAGTTGATAAACTTTGCTATGAAAATTATTGTAGTCCTCAAGAAGTTACTTGTTCGTAATAGTGTATTTTGGACAGCAGCTATTGGAGGAAGTGTAACCTATGTTTCTGAGAGGGATTTACTTTATGAAAAATTCACCTGGCTTGAACCCCTACATTCTTTTGACTGCACACACTCCATATGGCTCTCAGCAGAACATCAAAAGATGATAATGGGACCTGACAGCCTTCAGCTTAGTTTTATTTTCTCTTTTCAGCGTGGAATAGGCTCAATGGCTGAGACACCCACCAACACTCACCCTTGCTAGTAACAAGTACTGAGCACCTTTGTCATTCACATTCTTTCATGAGCTTTCTCCCCTTATTATGAATCCCATTAAAATACAAAGTTCTTTCTAGCTAGATGAGTACATGGCCCCCATAGGCCATGTTATAATGAGAGTTTTTTATTCAAAAGATACCCGTGTTTTAGCACATAGCAACACATTATATACTGACCCTTCAGTTCAGTGACTGAGTTTGAACCTCTCTTCCACTCAAAAGGTTAGGAGCTATCTGTTAAAGGGAAGTATAACTCAATTTTCCAGGTGAGAGATTTTCCCTTTCAAAGTGAGGAAAGTAGAAATTGCTGGTTTTAAATCTGCATGCCTAGTAATACAGATTAGGCACAACCTCACTTATCCATCAGATACATCATGGAACAGGAAATATTTGGATTTGAGTGATATGACAGACCCAAACCAGCTGGCTGCAGTAGCTTGGTGGATGGTAAATGTACAGGCAACTGAATAAATAGTTTCTGTTTCCTGAGAGACCAGGGCAGGGTCTGCTGGAGAGCATTTAGGTCAGTCAGACACCTGGAGCCAATTAGGAGCAAGCATGAAGCAAAAGGGAGACAGGCTAATCAGGTCACCTCAGCCCATTAGGGACCTGCTGATTTAAAAGGCTTCCCTTCAGAGAAGGAGGAGCTAAGGACTGAGAGTTAGGAAGTGTGCTGTGGAGGAGCAGGAAAGACTTGTGCTGGTACCAGAAAGAAGCTACTGGGAGAGGTTGTTTGAGGAAGTGGCCCAGGAAAAAGGCTGGAAACACTGCCTGTTGCCACTGCCTTAGAGTCTCTGGGCCAGAAATCAGAGTAGTGGGAGGGCTTAGATTCACACACCAATGCAGAGAAGAGACTGAGACTACGGAGGGATTTCACCCCAACCCATTGACTGGCCTATGATGAAAGTGGCTCAGTACGCTGTAATCCTTACCTTTAGTAAAGGGTAAGAGGTTAAGTTGAGGGCCACAGTGAGCCTCTGAGGCTAACACTAAGCACCTCAAAGCACATGATCCCCCATGGCAAGGCTGGAGCTTTGCCACAGTGAATAAAAGCAGGCTCTTAAACATCATAAAACCCCTGCTTTTGCATGCAAATAAAATGATAATCCTACTCATTTTATAAAGCATTGATAACTCAATGGGAGGAATGTACCATTTCAACTTCACTTCCTGTCTTTGCCAACGCCTGCAGTGAGACTGTATGAACCTGACACACTCACTTGTCAGGTCACTATTCCACTAGACTAGTTCAGGACTCTTATCAGTCCCAAATCTGAAGAGCCAAATTAGTTGCAGATATAAGCAGGCATAACTCCATTGAGTTTGATGAAGTTGCATCTACTTTAACCAGCAGAAAATTCGGCTTCAAAATTGTTGAATGAATAGATATGTGGCTGGCTAGTGTGCCCAATTGGAGTGCATATTGACAAGCAGTGGGCTACCTTTTTTTCCCTAATTAAATATGTTGGTAATTGGAGAGGAAGAGTAGGACTGAATTCAGGCAGTAATGCTCTTTACTTACTGTGTCCATGGGGAAGGTGCAATTACAGTAAATTCCATATCCTTTTCTCATGACAGACACTGTGGGTAAAGCATTTTAAAGTGGCTGTCTAGTGCTGCTCCAGCATTTCTACTTCCAGCCTGAACCAAAAAAGAGGTATTCAGAAGAGACAATGAATAGAAGGAAATGGAGAGAATTGTGGAAACATTTCAAACAACTTTATATGTACAGAGAGTGAGGAAGAGAGTCAGTATTTAGGATCACAAAAGAAGTTGGAAAAGTTAGAACAATGGTAATAGTTGCATTGTGCTTTATATGTTTAAATTGCTATACAAACATCATTCACTTAATTTTCCCAACATCCCAATGAGGCAGACACAGTAACATTTTAAAGTGAAATGTGCATAGTAAGTGGCTTGGAGGAAAAGGTGGGGAGTTTTGAACAGAAGAGGTAGCAGAAGTAAGAGGAACCACCTGGATTGAGAGTTCCAACACTGGAATAGGAGGCCAAAACTGCAATCAGTCAGAGTTTAGCCAGGTCTTAGATTTATAGGTGCAGTGAGTTTGGTGGATTCTCATGGACACTGTTGAGTCACACATGTTGGCATAGTTAGAAACAATTGGTAGTTGCGGGAAAGAAAAAAAAAACTGGGATCAGAATAGCCAGAATATTACAGGTCATTATGGAAATACATTCAGATAGCTGAGAGAGGAATCTGCCAAATAGTTAACTTGTATTCTGTCCGAGTGACTAATTGCATTTGATACAATCATTTTTATTCATATGAAAAAACTGTATTCAAAATGAAGAGGAAAAAATAAATCTAGCAGATGGTCTTAACCTAATACTGCACAATTGGACAATGTCTGTTTCGGGGCGGGGAGGTAATTTCTGCATATTGGCAAAGACATGAGAGCCAGTAATTTTCTGGAAAAAGGTAAGGAAGGTCTGATTGGATTTGTACTATGGATAAGGTCTATACAGGCAGTCCCCGGGTTACGTACAAGATAGGGACTATAGGTTTGTTCTTAAGTTGAATTTGTACGTAACTCAGAACTGGCTCCAGATTCAGCCGCTGCTGCTGAAACTGACCAGGGGCTGAGTACAGGAAGCCCGAGGCAGAGTTGCTCTGCCCCCAGCTTCCTGGAATCAGCCACTGATCAGTTTCAACAGCGGCTGAATCTAGAGCCTGGGACAGAACAGCTGGGGCGCTGCCGGGTAGGTCCCCCCCAGGACCAACTCAGCAGCACCCGAGCTGCTCTACCCCAGGCGTCCACAACTAAAGCCTCTGGAGCAAAGCCTTGGAGGTGGGGACCCCGCCGCCTCCGCGGCTTTGCTCCGGGTGTTCCTGGTCTGCTCGGGGTGTCCCTGGTCTGCTGGGGGGGGGGGGGCCCCCAGCAGCCCAGGGACACCCCGAGCAAAGCCTTGGAGGTGGGGACCCCGCCGCCTCCGCGGCTTTGCTCCGGGTGTTCCTGGTCTGCTCGGGGTGTCCCTGGTCTGCTGGGGACCCCCCCCCCCCGCAGACCAGGGACACCCAGAGCAGCTTTTCTCGCCCCGGAGGACGCGGTGGCGGGACCACTGCGCGTCTGGGTGGTCCCACTGCCCGCGAGTTCCGGGGCGAGAAAAGCCCCGTTCGTAAGTGCGGCGGATCCGCGTAACTCGGGGACTGCCTGTATTAACTTGCAATATTGAGGAACTGCAGATTCTTCAATATTAATTTCCTATCTAAACTTTGATAGCAGGAGTCCTGCCATGAATGAGACTGAAAGTAGGACCTTCTGTTCTCAGCCACGTGCTACTAGCAGCAAAAAATCATGGAAATGTAGTAATGGACTTTATTTATATCAAATAATATCTGTTATTACTTTTCTGAAATTTTCCATGGCTATTTAAATTTAAAAGGTTTAAAACTAATAAAAGAAAATTCTTCTTCACACAGCGTGTAGTCAACCTGTGGAACTCCTTGGCAGAGGAGGCTGTGAAGGCTAGGACTATAATAGAGTTTAAAGAGAAGCTAGATAATTTCATGGAGGTTAGGTCCATAAAAGGCTAATAGCCAGGGGATAAAATGGTGTCCTTGGCCTCTGTTTGTCAGAGGCTGGAGAGAGATGGCAGGAGACAAATCGCTTGATCATTGTCTTCAGTCCACCCTCTCTGGGGCACCTGGTGCTGGCCACTGTCGGCAGACAGGATACTGGGCTAGAAGGACCTTTGGTCTGACCCAGTACGGCCGTTCTTATGTTCTTATTCCACAAGTAACCCACAATTTTTTTATAATTATCTCACAGTTCAAATAGAGCCTTAATTATGAAGCATT